CCGTCGGCGACGTGCGTCCGGGGCGAAAATCTAAGTTCGAGGCTGGACCATCGAGATATATCGCTCGGTCGCACGCGTGCGCGCCCGCGCCGACGTTATCGCACGGCGGCGTGCCGCCGAGGAAATTTTATCAATACCGCGGCGGCCATCTAGTCCCGCTGGCAGTCGCTCGCGAAAAGTTCCGCGCCGAGCTCCGAACGTCCGACCGGGGGGTGCGAGCCGAGCGAGAGCCGATCGACAAATCGACGAGGATTGGCGGAATAGGAGGGGCCCGAGGCGATCGACTACGAGCACCATGTGAGTACGCGCGATACAATGCTCTGGGGCCGCCGAGCGGCCGCGAGGAGATCGCGAGCTCTGATCCCCCCCCGACAAGCCCGAGGGTCCTTCGCGCGAGAGGTCCGCGAGAGGACGAGGCGCCTTGGCCGTCCCCGATCTGAGGGGGGTGTCGATCGTGAACACGCTCAGCGATCCACACGGAAACAGCGAGCGAGCCTCTCTCGGTCAGGCGGTTTCGATCAACGAGGACACCCCGAGAGGACGACGTTGATGTCGTGTGAGACGAAAACGGAACACCTAGTCGGGGCGACGCGTATCGTAGCTTCGCGTTGGACTCGGAATCGACTCGCGGTGCACCGGAGTGCGTAATTTCCGGATGCGCTTCCCGCTGGAATCCGTACCCGTCGACGGAGGCCCCGCGATCGCCGGGGGACACCGAGCGCGCGAGGTGTCGCGGGGTCCGAAATCGGGACGATATAGGGTACCGGGGGCCCTTGTACGGCGACACAAATGGCGATTGTCTCGCGGTGCTGCATCGCGAGTGAATCCCGTGGCCATTTCGCAAGTCGACGCCGTCTGACGTCGAACGGCCGTGTCTCTTTAAGCGAGCCTCTACACAAGACCGTGACGCATAAGTAGATCAATGAGCGATTAGAGCAGAACGGTGGTGACTTATACTCCGCGCTCGGCCGCGATTCGCCGACCGCGGTGAGCGAGTTCGGCGAGGAGGTGCGGCGATCGATGAATTTTGCGGGTATGAATGCGCAAAACCGCGTGAGGATCGCGTAAGGAGCCCCGCGGCGTGCGAGGGCGAGGAGGGCGAGAATCGCCGTCGCCGCGGCGCGTTAGTAAGATGCGTTTTAAGACGCAATTGCCGTGGCTTGTCGCCGCCAATCGATCCTCCTCGCGCGACCCGTCCGTCCGCGGCACACGGCAGAATTTCCGATAGAGTGCAACGGAGGCCTCGGAGAGGCCTCTCCCCGCCCCGCGCCCCCTGCCGTTACCCCGGCACTTTCTTCTCGCTTTCGTGAGGGATTAATCGCGAACGCGGCCCTTCGTACCCGCCGAGGGATGCGTGCACCGTGATGCATCGACCCCATTCGACGCGAATCTTTCCTCCGGAGGGTAGAGCGAGTCGATCGCGCGGGAGAAATATTGACGAAACGGGGCACGTCGCGTCAGACAATTCTCCCCCCACTCTCTCTCTCTCTCTATCGGTTGAGCCTGATCTACAACGTGCTCTTTGCGTCTGGAAACATTCCGTTCTATAGCCGATACCGAGTCGAAACTTTGGCCCTATGTTGAACCCTTAATTCTACACTCACCCGCAAAAAAAAATGGGCCACCACATTTTAGCCCAATTTTTCAACATTTTTCAATAGCGATAACTCGGCGAAAAATCATCGTAGAAAAATGATTAAAAAAGCATTTTGAAGCTTGAAGTTTCAACTTTGAAATGCTGTCAACAATTCTTTAAAATTCGTTTATCTTCCTTGTTCTATGCTTCAAAAAAGAACACATTGTTTTTTTTCTTAGAATTACGTATTTTTGACGCTCTGTGGCTGGATAAAAAAATTTGTCTCGAAAATATCATCTCAAATTTCATAAACTACAACTCTTTGCCTACAAAACGCTTTTTTAAAAATTGTCCTACGATGTTTTTTGACCGAGATATACGATTTTGAAGCTAAACCTGTACTTTTTAGAAATGTTGTAGATACTCGGCGAAAACTCATCGTAGACAAATGATTAAAAAAGCATTTTGAAGCTTGACGTTTCAACTTTAACATGCTCTAGATGTCCTTTTAAAATTCCTTTATTTTCCTTGTTCGCTGCTATAAAAAAAGAACACACTGTTTTTTCCTTAAAATTACGTATTTTTGATGCTCTGTAGTTGGGTAAAAAAATTTCTCTCGACAATATCATCTCAAATTCCATAAACTACAACTTCTTGGCTACAAAACGCTTTTTTAATCATTTGTCTACGATGAGTTTTTGCTGACTATCGACAACATTTCTAAAAAGTACAGGTTTAGCTTCAAAATCGTATATCTCGGTCAAAAAACATCGTAGGACAATTTTTAAAAAAGCGTTTTGTAGGCAAAGAGTTGTAGTTTATGAAATTTGAAATATTTTCGAGACAAATTTTTTTATCCAGCCACAGAGCGTCAAAAATATGTAATTCTAAGAAAAAAACAATGTGTTCTTTTTTTAAGCATAGAACAAGGAAGATAAATGAATTTTAAAGAATTGTTGACAGCATTTCAAAGTTGAAACTTCAAACTTCAAAATGCTTTTTTAATCATTTGTCTACGATGATTTTTCGCCGAGTTATCGCTATTGAAAAATGTTGAAAAATTGGGCTAAAATGTGGTGGCCCATTTTTTTTGCGGGTGAGTATATTATACAGTAGGACCTAAGACAGTAAAAGAGGTCGACCTGCAAGTACAAAATTGACTCCTATTTTAAAACTGATAGTGTCGGAAATTTCTACTTTTGCCACATTAGCATTAAAATAGGTCCTTTTAAGTAAATTTTCACAATTAAAGATTCAAGGGAGGAGTAAAAAATATAACGTCATCAAAGTAGATTATTGCCATCTATGTAGGTGTAAATTATTTTTAAAAGTGTCAAAACAGTACCAAAATTTCCACTTGGGCCAAGTTGAAAATTTGGCCCTATGTTGAACATTTAATTCTGTTACATAGTAAGACCTAAGACAGTAAAAGAGGTCGAATTGCAAAATTGACTCCTACTTTAAAACTGATAGTGTCGGAAATTTCTACTTTTAGCATCAATTTACCATTAAAGTAAGTCCTTTTGAGTAGGAGCTAAAGTAAATTTTCACAATTAAAGATTCAAGGGAGGAGGAAAAAATATAATGTCAACAAAGTAGGTTATTGCTTATCTATGTAAGTGTATAGATCAGTTAAGTAGGTGTAAATTATCCTTAAAAGTGTCAAAATTTGGACCTTATGTTGAACTTCTAATTCTATTATACAGTAGGACCTAGGCAGTAAAAGAGGTCGAACTGCAAGTACAAAATTGACTCCTACTTTAAAACCGATAGTGTCGGAAATTTCTACTTTTGTCAATTTAGCATTAAAGTAGGTCCTTTTAAGGATCTAAAGTAAACTTTTACAATTAAAGATTCAAGGGAGGAGGAAAAAATATAATGTCATCAAAGTAGGTTATTGCTGGTCTATGTAGTATCCATAGATCAGCTAAGTAGGTGTAAATTATCCTTAAAAGTGTCAAATAATACCAAAATTTCCACTCGGTTAAGTGTGCATGAAAAAAAAAGATGCAAGTTGATAATTGTGCAATCGTACAGTGTCGATAAACTTTTTAATCGTGTTGATTCACTCACACAAGGCAGATATGTTTCTAGTCGCAAGAGACACATTGTAGACTTGAAATTACTCGCTGTTTTGCAGAATCGTTGTTGACTCGTGCGTCAATCGTTACGGGGTGTCTTCGTGTCGAATTAACGTCTCGCGGCCCACGTCTTGACGGACTCGTTTGTTTATTTATTCGTTAGCAGCAGAATTTAGAGGAAACTACACGAGCGCGGTAATCGGATCGCGACGCGGTCGCGCAACAAACGTTAATTAACTTCGCCTTTGAACGCACTATTATTGTTTTCCATTCAGCTTTTCTCGCGATAACCTTTCGCATCCGGTTTCCATCCGTCCGGCTCGATGATATTGCATTATATTCATTCGGCTAGCCGGGGCGATAAGGCGATAAGGCGCGTATGTATAAGCAGCGCGTCGTTATCTGCCCGAATATTTCGCGATCTTGGACAATCTCTGGACGGAGGGGCGATTCGAGCGAGACGGTTCAAGCGTCGTTCACCATCGCGACGCCTTACGCGCCGCTGGCAAGTAACCCGCGGAGCTCGATCTTCCCGAAGGGCACGCGATAATTTCGGGCCGCGACGCCAATCGCGGGAGAGATTAGAAAGCGATATCGAGCACGTTATCGAGCTCCTTCCCCGCGTTCGGCAAATATTTCGCTTCTTTGTTTACGGACAATCGCGATAAGAGTAGCCGCGATCGCGATTAGTTTGAGCGCGCGCGCGCTTTGTTCCTTGCGCACTTTGCGCGCTCGCCGTGATCGCCTAATTGCGATCATACACGTACACACACACACACACTCGCACACTCACACACGTGTAGTCGGGATCAATCGCGCGAAATGCGGCGGTACTGCTACTACATGTCGGCTCGCAGTTTCTATATTTAGATAATCAATGATGAGCACATTTACGGCAATGTTCTACGGAGCTTTGCTAGACGGGAAGGTGCGCGCTCGCACGTAACTTACGCACTGCGACCCGGGTGGCGAACGATGAACCGTTCGCCGGATTGTTCGTGCGTTCGGTCAAAGACGACGAAATCCTCGGGACGGCGGCGGCGGACCGCGATATTACCGGCTGCAATTCGGCCCTTGAGAGCTCCGGAAGTTTCATGGAATTGCCGCTTTCTCTTAACACGGTTCTTGAATTATCGGAAAACTGCCGGCGGCGCGAAAATTTTCAGTAGAAAATTCATGCCCCGCGTAAATTCGGCAACTTTTAGAATTTAACGGTCCTGCATATCGGTTTGTTGTACGCGATTTTTTCTTAAAATTTAGCCTGAAAAATCGTGGGACGATTGGGCATTTTGGAGAACCTTGCGAGTCTTTGGAAATTTTACATGATTTTCCGGGTAAATTTTGAGAGAAAGCTCTCTCTCTCTCTCCGTGTATTAATTCGATTTTGCGCGCCGTATTATTTATCACGTGCAAGTAATTTTGTCCTGAACTGGATTTTCAACTAACGTTAATTAATCACTACAAGTGAAAAGATAAGTGCAAAAGGCACCTTCGAGCGTATCACTGCCCAAAAGGAGAAGAAAAAGTCAGGATGATGTCAATTTCATGTCATATTGACCAAATTTATGTCAAATTTTGGTCAATATGGCATCAAATTGACCACAATTTGACATAAATTTCGTCAATATGACATCAAAGGA